AAGGCAGATTTACAGAGAGAAGGAAAGACAGAGAGAAAGATCTTCCATTTGCTGATTCACTCTGCAAGAGGCTGCAGTGGCCAGAGCTGAGCTGATCTGAAGCTTGGAGCCAGGAGCTTCTTCCAGGTCTCCCACATGGGCGCAAGGTCCCAAGGCTTTGGGCCATCCTCCACTGCTTTCCCAAGCTGCAAGCAGAGAGCTGGATGGGAAGTGGAGCAGCCTGGATACAAACCAGTACCAATATGGAAAACCAGTGCATGCAAGGTGAGGACGTTAGCCAGGCCTGAGGTGCACATCTTGAAATCTCTCCTGTGGAGGCTTCCTAACTTTCATTCTCTACTTCTATTTCTTTTACTTCACTACACACTCCTTCCCAGTTTGAAGCACTTAATTACACTAAAACTGCTAGTATATTCTCCATTCCATTCTTTTGTTGTTCCATTTTCATGAAATATTTAACTCTGTTTTCTACATATAGTCTATTTACAAGTAGGAGGCAAATGAGAAAGTTGGCATGTGGCATTGTTCAGTACAAGTAAAATTTGTTAAGCAGCAACTAATGACTCCACCTTAGCTATTATGAGCTCTGAAACAAAACATCCAGCTTTTCTAAAACTAGGAGTGAGAAAACAATTTTGCTTCCGAAGTTCCCTAAATAGACACTACATAAGCAGTACCTGCCTTTTTAAATTGTATATCCACCCACTCATTCAGACACTGACCAAGACGTGAGAGCTATGAGCAAGAGAGAACGTTTCCCTGCTGTCGCAGAGCTTAAGTTGTGGTTTATACATGAAGCCTGTCTAAAATAATCTTATACATCCCACAGAGCATGCAGGCAGAGGCTCTTATCTGTTCTGTTCATGGCTATTTCTGGGGCCTAGGCAGAGCCTGACTCTGAATAGATGCTCCCTGACCATTTGTTGTATGAGCAACCAATCATTAGGTGTAGCTGGAACTGCAAGGCCTCCCAAATTAGCTACTTTACAGAAAGAATATGAGTAGGTAATTTTCAATGAGAAATATTACTTATGCAGGGGACGGGATCCATCATCTGCTTTTGTCTTTAAATTGCTACATGTTTGTGAACTCTGAAGTTTTTATCTTTCAAATAAAGAGAATAAATCTTTTTTAAGATTTTTTTTTTATTGTAAACTCAGATATACAGAGAGGAGGAGAGACAGAGAGGAAGATCTTCCATCTGATGATTCACTCCCCAAGTGACCACAACGCCCGGTGCTTCACCAATCCAAAGCCAAGAACCAGGAGCTTCCGCCAGGTGTCCCATGCAGGTGCAGGGTCTCAAGGCTTTGGGCCATCCTTGACTGCTTTCCCAGGCCACAGTCAGGGAGCTGGATGGGAAGTGGAGCTGCCAGGAATAGAACCGGTGCCCATATGGTTCCCAGCATGTTCAAAACGAGGATGTCAGCCACTAGGCTACCATGCCAGACCCAATAAATCATTTTTTAAAGTATATATGTATCATATACATAGAAAGGTTTAAATATGTTACATTTGTCTTTAAAAATAAATGGTTCTTTTAGGTACAAGATAATCATTAAAAAAAAAAGGGGGGGTTGTACAGGACCACAATGCTTGAGGTGAGGTTTTTATAGTTTATTAGAGATAAAGATCTTCCATCTGCTAGTTCATTCCCCCAAATGCCTACAGCAGGCAAGGCTGTATCAGGCTGACTCCAGGAGCCTGAAATCAAATCTGGGTCTCCTGTGTGGGTGGAGGAACCCAGGCACCTGAGTCATTACCTGCCTCCTTTAGTGGTGCACATGAGCAGGAAGCCGGATCACAAGCAGAGCCAGGACTCAAAGCCAGGCGCTGTGATGCTCTAGTCTGTTCACATTATGGCAACAGTGGTCATTGTCCTGTCGTCTTACATACACTTCTACTCTCAGCTTGCAGAACATGGCAGAACTAATGTTGAGCAGATATAGAGTGTGTATGTGACATTTCTCTGCCATCCTTCCCAGCAGAAGTGTTCTGCTAGGTGAAAGGGTAGTGGCCCAGCTAGAACTGCAAAGTAAAACGAGAGCTTCAAGTTTGAAAGTAGCTTGTAAGTAAACCTGAGTAGTTCATAGCACTGGAATTCTCTAAAGTGATTTGTCTAACAATAAATTGTGAAATAAGAAAAAAAGGGTTTACAGAAATTTTCAGTAGAGCTGCTACTCAAGTTGTTCTTGTCACAGCTTTATATTCACTACTCTTTCCTGAAGAAACTGCTGTTGGATTTTTTTTTTAATGGAAAACCCAGGAGTTGGCTTAGTGTCCCAAAAGGAAAAACAGACCCTCAGTCATTACAAATTGCATAGTTTCTCCACAGCTCACCTTACAGTATTAAGATACCTGTGTTCCTTAACAAAGCTAGAACCATTTTCTTTGCTCCTAATAGGCCCCGTGTATTAAACTTGAAGCTCTCCTTTTAATTTTGCAATTCTAGCTCGGCCACTGCCTTTCACCCAGCAGAAGTGTTCTGCTGGGAATGATGGCAGAGAAATGCTACGTATACAACCTATATCTGCTCAACATTAGTTTTGCAATGTTTTGCAAGCTGAATGAGTAGAAGCGTATGTAAAATGACAGCACCCATCACCACAGCGTTGCCATAACATGAACAGACTATAAACACTGGAAAATGAGAATGTTGAGAGAGCAGAAACAAAGAGGAGCTCTGGTTAGGACAAAGGTAAAATTGTTAGAGAGGATATGCTAATTTTTATATATTTTCATTTTACTTGAGAGACAGAGCAAGAGGGAGGGAGGAATCTCACACTCAGTGATTCACTCCCCAAATGGCCGTAATGGTCACATCTGCGCCTGGCCAAAGCCGGAAACCTCGAACTCAATTCATCTTGTACATGTGTGGCCTGGATCTAAGTACTTAAGCCTTCACCTGCTGCTTCCCAGGATGCTTGTTAGTACAAAGCTGGAATTAGTTGCAGACCACAGGACTTCCCATGTGGGATGTAAGCATCCCAAGCAGTGTCTTAACTGCTGAGCCACACAGCCAACCTGAAGACCCCTAGTTAGTGCTGTAACCGAACAATGCATGGTCATCAGCAAGAGGCAAGGAGAAGGATGGCAAATGGGAAGAGTGGAATATTTGTGACCTCAGGATCAACTTCAGTGTCAGATGCCAATTAGCCTAAAATCAATTTCAGAATCATTTGGGATTTTGAGAATTCAAAACATACTGTGAGCATGTTGCTATTTAAATTTTTGGTCTCCAACCATCTGTGGAAAGTCCAGGACATGTTTGTCCAGCATCAAGGTGGTTTGCTGAATTAGGGGTGTGGCTGACAAGCGTTTTCAGAACTCCCTGCCACTCCTACAGGAGTTACTGTGGAGTAGGAGCAGATTTGAATATAACCAGAATTACTGGACCCATCATGGTGGCCTAGTGGCTAATGTCCTCTCCCTGCATGATCCGGGATCCCATATGGGCGCCAATTCATGTTCCAACTGCTCCACTTTTCATCCAGCTCCCTGCTTGTGACCTGGGAAGGCAATAGAGGATGGCTTAAAACCTTGGGACCCTGTACCTGCATGGGAGAATTTGAAGAAGCTCCTGGCTCCTGGTTTCAAATTGTCTTAGTTCCAGCAATTGCAACTACTTGGGAAGTGAACCAATAGAAGACCTTTTTCTCTGTAAATTTTGATTTTCCAATAAAAAGTTTTTTATAAAGATCTTAAAACATAATTACTTTATTTTTTTAAAAAAGGTGCACAAAGGTAAAACTGGACCAAGAAGAGTACTACCCTGGCTTTAAAATTTCTACAAGAACTGACTCATGCTGCTTTTGCTACAGTGTATCTCAGCACTAAGTTCCAACTCTTCTTAGTTCACTTAAAGTCTTAGATCTCTGAAAACATTTGACTGGAAACCCTAAGTTATTTTTTTAATAGTATATTGATTTCAGAGAGCTTTAGTGTCCTTGGAAATGTCCAAATCACAATCTTGGAGTGGTTTGTGATAGCCTCAATAGCTATGAAAGAAGTATAGAGTATTCCACAAGAAATATTCTTGCCAAAATGTTTAACCTAAATCTAAGCAGGCTTCTGTAGACCGAACTTGCAGCTTACAAGCCAAACACAGACAAGCTAAATGACACAATGGAGACTTACTCATAAGACAACTTAAAGAGACCTTTTTTCATAAGAGAGCTGTTCTGGTCTCCAAAAGTGACTGGTTTCCATGAAAAGAAGTTAATGGCTTTTATTTTCCTTTTGTAAAAAACCATGAGGGATTGGTTGAGATTTCAAAATCTATGAGGAAATATTAAAAGGTGCAATCTGTGAATCTTGATGAATTCTGATCTGGGGGAAAAGCTACAAAAGATACTCCTGAAAAAATGGGGAAATGAAATAGTGGGTGAGCAATGAGTAAATATGGGTTATGTGTTGGGTAGTATGGTCTTATTGTTAGTATTTAAAATTTACTAGTGGTCATGTAAAAAATGCTGGGGGCAAAAAATGGTGTATGCTGCAGAACGTAGCGATGAAGATCATGATGTCCAAGTTTAAGCAGAGTGTGCTTGTTGTCCTGTTCTCTCAACTCTTCTATATGTTAAAATCTAAATGTGGAGAGATCCAGCCTCTGGCTCGTTCCCCAGTTGGCTCCAACAGCCGAGGCTGAGCCAGGATGAAACCAAGAGCCAGAAACTTGTTTGTCTCCCTCGTGGGTACAGGAGCCCAAACACTTGGGCCATTATTCCATACTGCTGACTCCATGAATTCTTCAAAATTTTTCAAAATTCTTTTGCACCAAAACAAGCTTATCTTTTAGTTCTGTTTTTCCATGAACTTCATGAAATACTGGTGTGTAAGGTTTAATCAATGTAAATATACATATATATGCACACACACATATATGTGGGAGGAAAAAAGAAGAAAAAATTGAATTCTGGTCTTTGACAAGCAAAAGTTACAAAAGCACGAAATAGTTCATAAAGAATTAACAGGCCAATCTTCTCTTTCTTCTATTCCAGGCTCAAGAAAAGGGAAGATTAGACTACGTGAAGGTATGTAGATTTTATACACAGTGCTCAGTTTTAGACATTTAAATTTGGTGTTTCCATTTATATTTGAAAGGTCCAAAGAGGATTATCTCATTCAGAGCTGAGTGACATTTCCTGTTAAGCAAAAGACAACAGTAGCACGTCTAAGAATCACTGAATATTTAATGTATTTACTGAGTGCCTATTTTATTGCAGACACTGTATTAGGTATTAGGAATACAACAGTGAACCAGAGAAAATCATCCTGGATATTTATAATCCAATGGGAAAAATAGGCAACTAAATAGATCCATAATGTATGCTATATATTATATATATTACATAATGTGTAATTTAATGTTGGATGCTGGTACACACTGTGAAGAAAAATAACCAAGGTCACTAAGCATTGTTGAATAGAAGCCTGTGGCTTAGACACACAAGTGGACTTCCAGCCCAATCAGATAATACCTGAGAGGCACCATACAGGACTTGCTCAAACTGCTAAAGGAGAGAGTTCACATCACCTGTGCAGCTTTTGAAAACACACGTGCCTGAGCACTAATGCCTTATAGCCTCTTTCACTAAGATCAGAATTCCCCGATGCCGAGAGCATGGCAGGGGGCAAGCTGGACGGGTTTGAAAAAAAGTCTGCCCCAATCGTCATGACACAGACTGCAGAAGCCGGAATCTCGAGTGTCACTGCAGGCTTGGGAGCACGGTTGGGTCACATTCTGTTTTCCCCTCAGGAAAGTGGAATATGTAGCAGGTGCACAGCATGCATACAGCTGCTTGGCTGTACAGGAGCATGTCAGCCAGCTGATTGATGCAACAATCAGGAAGATCTAGGAAGGAGGGGGTAGCGGGAGTGAGCACACCTGTACTCCAGAGACAAGGAGGAAGAAAAATGACCCAGAAAGGCTCTGCTCGCGGAAACCCACAAAATCCTGGGCCAATCTGGATTGGTGCATGCCTGGTGGTGACCCAGTTCGCACATCCACAGCTCTCTTTGCCTTGCTCAAAATGCAGTGTCTCCTTCTGTTTGATGCACAGTCTTTAGCTTCCTTCGAGAGTAAACTGGGAAGCAGAGGCACCACTAAGCTGAAGGCTCCCAGACCTGTCCCTCTGCAGTGCATGTCTGCTGAACCCCATGCCATACTTAAGCACACACTCTGGACCTACCTTAAGGTCTTCAGTAGGCATACGAGCCCAGCGCGTCTTCAACTCAAGCCAGAACTCTCCTGGCCATCTCTGGTGGTTTTCCAATTACGTTATATTTTTAGAACAGTTTTGGGTTCACAGCCAAGTTGGCTGAAAAGCTTGGAGCAGTCAAATACATAGCCGCCCCTGCTAACGTATCCCACACCAGAGCAGCACATGCATTTGTAGCCATCCATGAGCCTCCACTGGCACATCCCCACCCGGCATCCATCCATCCATTCTTCATGTTAGCACTCATCTCAGCACTGCGGCTTGGCCCTTTGACCTAGTCTCTGTCCTGTTGCTGCCACTGTTGACTCTGAAGAACTGGCCCGGTGAGCAGCTGCAGCACCTCCCTCCCCCTGTGTTCTGTGCGCACATCACACCTGCTTTGTACCCTGCGTTTTCCTAACCAGAGCCCCTCCTCGTGACCTTTCTCCCATTGTTCTCATGCCTGGTCCCTTCATCTGAATCATTGTAAAGCCCAGGCTCCCTGCCTCTCTTGTCCATGCAGACCCTTCCCAGCCAGAACGTCTAACTATATCACAAATCACAAGGTCTCAGCCTCCCCCACTCAGTGCCCTCCAATGGCTCCCTGTTGCCAGTGCAGCACCTGCAGGGCTTGCTTGGGTCAGTGTCTGTGGAGTAGTATCTTGCCTCCTGGAGAGAGCTTTGTCACCATCTTCTGCTCCAGCAGCACCCATGACCATGATATGGATCGCTTACCATCCTCTTGCTGTGCCCCCTGTTGGGAATGCCCTTCCCCCTTTTCCTGGCACCCTTTGTCCACTCATCCTCAAAGGAAGCTTAGTTTCGTTTCACCTCCTATAGGAAGTCCTGAGCTGGAATAAGTGCTCTCAGCTCAAGATGTATACATGATCAGTTTACAGAAAAATCATAAACTGTGAGTTCTCCCAGGACAGGGACAGTGTCTGACTCTTGTTTGTATACCTGACACCCCAAACAGTGCTTGGCACTTGGTAAATTGTTGAGTAAGTGAGTAAGTAAGTAAGTAAGAAGGTTGGTGCTATGGTATTGTAGGCTAAGCATCCGCCTGCCTACTACACAGCATCCCATATGAGCACCAGTTCGAGTCCAAGCTGCTCAACTTATGATCTAGGTCCCTAATTATGGGCTGGGAAAGTAGCAGAGAATGGCTCAAGTCCCTGGGCCCCTGCACATCCTTATGGAAGACCCATAGGAAGCTCCTGGCTTCTGACTTTGGACCAATTTAGCTCCAGTGTTGGCCTTTTAGGAAGTAAACTAGCAGATGGGAGATTCTATGTGTGTGTCTCACTGCCTTTTAATTAAAAAGAAAATAGAAGGAGGCCAGTGCTGTGGCACAACAAATTAAAATACCAGCTGTGGTGCTGGCATCCCATATGGGCACCGGTCAAATATCTAGCTACTCAACTTCCGATCCAGCTCTCTGCTAATGCTCCTGGGGAAAGTGGAGAAAGACAGCCCAAGTGCTGGGCCACTGCACTCATGTGAGAGACCTGGAGGAAGTTCTAGGCTTCTGGCTTTGGCCTGGCCATGCAGCCATTTGGAAGAGGAACCCACAGATGGAAGATTCTCTTTCTCTTTCCATATCTTCTCTCTCTGTATAACTTTGCCCTTCAAATAAATTTTTAAGTTCTTTAAAAAATTAAAAAGATAAAATAGAAGACATCTGAAGTAAATTGGGAATATGTAAATTGCAGCAGTAAAATATGGTATCCAGGCTGTGATCTCAATGAAGAGAGAGAAAGAAAGCTTTTGAACTAGGGTGAAGGTTTCAGCAGGATAGAAAAAAACTGCTTAGGAAGCTTGTAGTAAGCCAGTCTGTAGAGAAAGGATGGATGTCACTGTGGTGTTGGAAGCAAGCTAATATGCGAGTGAACCAGTTAGGGAATAGAGTGGCTGCTTATTTATAACTCAGAGGATGCATCTGGGGTTGCTAATTGTGGAAGCAGGAAAGTGGAAAAGAGAAAAACTCCAGTGCACAGATTAAGAGCACCCCTGGACCAAGCATGGCTCTGTCACAGACTCACTGCAAAGTCAGACCATCTGTCTTTGGTCCTCCCTCAGTTGGTTCAATACTAAGTGAGCCATGGAGCATTATGCTATTCACTCTCCTAGGCACGTTCCAAATAGGAAGAGACTTTTTTTAAGGCTTATTTTCATCACCTTGAAAGTCAATAGCTTCCTCTGCTTTACTCCCTAGATGGCCACCACAGGCAGGGTGGGGCCAGGTCAAAGGCAGAATCCAGGAACTCCATTTCACTCTGCGTTGTGGGTGGTAGAGGCCCGAGAACTTGAGCCAGCATCAGCTACCTCCAGGTACATTAGCAGAAAGCTGGATGGCAAGTCCAGGAGCCTGGACTCAAACTGGCCCTCCATATTGGATGCAGACATCACGAGCAACAGCTTAATAGGCCACTCAAGTCTGCTGCAGTGCCAGCACAGACTCAAGCTTCATCCACCCAGCTGGCATCTGTTTACTATATCCAGAACACCATGCCCGTGCTAAGATGTCTGCCGTGAACAAGACGGCCAGGGCGTGGACTCAAACCTCCTTGTTTCCAGAAGCTACCACCCGTTACACTCTTCCACCTTCCCTCTAAACACATGGCATGGTCCAATAAGATCAAGGTTTATTGACTTCTTTCTTCTGAGATGTAAAAATCTTGGAAGGCAGGAGCCCCAGTGGCCTCACCAGTGGCTGCATCTCCCTCCCCAGCACGGGCTCACACATGGGAGTGGCTGACAGGACTGTTGTGTCCATATCACATCAGAAGTGTAGAAGGCTGTGAGAGGTCTGGGATCAAATACTGTGGACTCCCATTAGCCACTTTAAGGATGTATTGACTACATAAGATACATACAATCCATGTCCGTGTTGCCCAGGGTTACCATCCCAAAGTGCTCATGCCCAAAAACCGAGACCCATCCCCAACCCTTGAACTTGTAGGGCTCTTCTGATAAAGACCTAAACCACCTTGTCTAGACTGATTGAGCTAATTAATTGAGACCCTGTCATGCTTACACCCACAGAACATAGGGGGAAAGATGAGACCTTCGTCTATCAAGTAACATGGAGATGTCTGTGGGGTGTAGCTCTCAGTGTTATCCCCTACGATGGCTGTTGCAGGCACTCAGGAACACATGACCCAGGGCCTCTCATCTCTGCTTCCTGTAATCTCGCTGCCCATGACCCTCTAACCAGCCTGCCCAGGCCTCCTCTGTTGGGCTTATCAGTAAAACAGTGTTTTAGAAACTCTGTGGCGGTCTCAAGAAACTCTTGTGAAATGCATTTGTAGAATCGTTATTTCCAAGCAATGAGTAGTTTCCCAAAAGCCACCTTTTGTCTGAAAAAAAAAAAAGTCAGATTTCAAGAAACCTCAGGGCATCATTTTGGTCATGCACTCTGTGGCTTCATTTGCCATCGTGCACACACTGTCGCCCTGCCTAGCGGGAAAGCAGGGCAGAGCAGGGAAGAAGTGATCGTTTCAAACCCTGTCCCAGCTGGATCTACTGAGTGTTTGTCACGTTCAGCACAACAGTGGCCTGGTCCTCAGACACTCAGATAAGAAATTGAATTACCTTTTAATTGAATTGCTGTTGAGGTAGATCCTGGATATGGATGCTTTCCACTGCAGTAGTGCCTTTCATCCTGAGATACCAAAGCACTTGACAGCTGTTCATTCATTAAACAGCTCCCCCTAATTCTGAAGGTAATCATCCCAGAAGCCAGAGTCCCCCCGCCCCCTACTGAAGCTCACCGCTGAAGGTAGGGAGAGAGAGAGAGAGAAAGAGAAGCCATTTCACCACGTGAGGCAATT